AAAGAGTGTGTGAGAGCCTGCACTTTTTTGCTGTGCAGATCAGAGAAAATCCAGCATAACTCTTTCAATTAAACATCAAACATCTTCTCCTCTCCTCTCATCCTCCTCTCCAGACTTCTTTGAGACAGACAGTCTAATAACCACAAGGAGGAGGGAGTGGTTTGAAGCAGGGGATGAAGAGGTCACTGGAGGGCTGTGTGTGCATATGTTGCCTGTCTGTGTGTGTGTCTGTGGGTGGGAAGAGACAGCATGTGTGTGGTGTCATAATCAAATACACTGCATTCTCACTCCTCGCGATTTGACACAGTTACAGATTTCTCCATTAAAATGACCTCTTGGCTGCACTATAATGTAGGTACTACCTTCTCCTTCTCTTTTCATCACCCTCTTCTTCTGTGACTCACTTTTCTCCGTCTCCTCTTTGATGAACAGACATATGCAGGTCAATTGGGTACTTGCTGAGTCGCACTCACTCACTAGCACTCGCATGTTTCTAAACTCATTTATAAATGTTACAATTTGCATTTGGCCACATATTAAAAAAATGACACAATTAAGGTTGTAATTACATTAACAATTATGTAAAAATGTTAAGCACTAATAGGTGATCTATAGCCCACGTATACAGCCCCTATTTTTGCTGCCATCTTTCTGCTTAGCACTGCACCTCCATGCATATTCACCTGTTTTACTCTTTTGCTTATGCACACGTTTCTCTGCACACCACATTGTCTCTCTGTTTTTCCATTAAAACTATTCATTCTCATTGTCCACACTTTGCAGATATAGATTTATAATAATAGGTCCCTGCACAGCCCTCCCTCCTTTTCAACCCCATTCAGCTACATTTATATTTCATCTACATTCTTTTCTCCCTCTGTGTCTCCAACTCTCTTTATTATGCACAAGTCACAAGTTCCCAAAAATATATGCAGTCAGCCTTGGGGGAAAAAAAGCTGTCCTATAGCAAGTAAATACAGTGTATGTTTTTCATGTTTTATTCAGGATGTATGGCCCTTAAGATGAACTTTTTTAATCCTGAAGATCTCCTGACCCCAGCAATCTGAGAGCTGTCGAGTTGTTAATTGTCCATTTGAATGTGCCATAATTTTTAACTCTATACCAAGATCATGAATGTAGCTCCAAAACCGCAGATTATACTTAAAAAATACTGATAAATATGAAACTAATATTACTATTTGATTTGATTTGATGTGATTTATTCTTTCAAGCATGTAAAGACAGTTGATATGACAACACACAGACAAAAGCAATTTGCTTATACCTAGTACATGCTTGAATGGAGTAGGAAGAAGTCAGACTTATCCAGTCCTACCCCATGACATCATCTTACCATCATTGGTATCTGTGATCAGAAATTTATATCTGTTCAAAGCAACCCCATGCTAGGTCAAAAACATCATAACTGAAGTTTTAAGTTTATTCTTGAAACCAGCAGTTGAGCAAAACTCCTATTTCAGCTGCAGTCTCCAAGGTCCTTAAAGCAAAAGTTGACATTATGGGAAATATTTTCATTATGGTAAAATGTTAGATGGGAAGAGCAACACCACTCTCGTGCAGCAGCCATCTGTTAAATAGGAAGCTACAGCGAGCAGAATATTAGCTTGTAAACAAAGAGAAACAGCTAGCCTACCTCTGTCCAAAGGTGAGAACATTTACCAACCAATATGTTATATCTGATTTATTTAATGTGCACAAAACATATAAATATAAACAAGACTAATTCTTGGCTGTGGGCAGCTATTAGGAAACCGGACTCCAGCAATTTACTGGTTAAGGCCAAGAAATAATCTGCACACATCTACACCTTGGTTTTTGTATGTCTTGTACAATTTTCTTTTTTTTTTATTCATGAGACAAAAATAGAATCCTAATTACAGTATCTATAGCTTTGTGACAACTGGGTAAATACATTTTCTGGTAAAATGATCAAGCTCCAGAGTAGCTAGTAAGTGGACCTTGTGGTAAGACTGATTTCTCAATTTCATGGCATCAATGTACAGTCCTGCTCACTTTGTATGGACTGTATCCAACAGCTCTTTCCCCAATAATGTCACTTCAAACTTACATCTTGATTGGACATCTCCCAGTATGGCCTCTCCCCGTATGACATCACTTCCCACATGACAATCCCGTAACTCCACACATCACTGGCTGAGGTAAACTTCCTGTATGCGATCGCCTCTGGAGCTGTCCAGCGAATAGGAATCTTCCCACCCTGTGACAAAATACAAGACCACTTACCACATAATGCAAATACCTTGGTGGACCGAAAGGAAATTAGGTTTAGGAAATGAAACCCATCTGAAGACTGAAATAGTTTCCCTCTGTTGTGCTGCTTTGATATGTTTACATAAAAAAACAAACAACAACAACAACAAAAAACAAATAGCCTTCCAGTGCAGAAGTACAGCTGCAGTCACTGAACATTTTTACATTGGGCTACATAAAGACAGAAACAGAACAAAGTTTACTTAAGACGCTTCTGCCACATGTGGTCCAACCCACAATTACACTAATGAATACCAATTTAGGAAGGCATTCATTTTACTAAGTTTCACCTTCTTTTACAAATTCCCTATCCTAACTGTTGGGGGCCTAAGATTTCTCTATGCCTCTTCCTCTGCTTCATTATCACGCTTTCATTGCAAAGATGAAAAAGTTCACAGGATGACTGCTGAGTTCAGGAGGAAAATGTGATTTCAGCTGATGAGTAGTGAAATTAGTTTGATGCAGTATTGATGAACATAGCAGCAGGATATCTCCCGGTATGATTATTTGAAGGGTGTGAATTATGGTTTTCTCACTGCTCTGTCAGAGAAAAAGCGTCAGACAGTGTTAAAGAGTGAGAGTAAGAAGAGATGTAGGTTGGCAGTGAGAGATGAGTGACAAGATATTTGACACTAAGGCAGCAAGACTCATTGCTAATTGAGTGTTGCAGATACTGAGTCGACTACTAATTGGCCCTCCTCCTGCAGGAAGGAGCCCATGGAGTGGTTGACAGGATGCCACTCAGCCCGGGACACTTAGCTTAATTTAGAACCTGCTGATGCCATCTGCATATGTGTCTGTGCATGCAAGAATGTGCCGTGTATGTGTGTGTGTGGTTTGAGCAAGACTGTTTTGCAAGGTTTTTCCACTTAAAGTATGACATATCAATGGACAGAAATCCTGCCACAAGTCATAAATTATTTTAAGTTTAGTGAGAAAAATTGCCAAAAATTAATATAAAAAACTGCAGCTTTTCTCTGTTTTTTATATAATTGTAAACTGAAAATCTCTGGGTTCTGATAAAGCAAGCAAACTCACCTTGGGCTCTGGAAAACTGTGACATGCATTAGACCTAATTAAAACAATAATCACACACACACACAGACAAATATTAGCACACATACCCGTGTGGTGTACGCAGCCTCTGGGTCATCTTCCAGGACTCGGGACAAGCCGAAATCAGAGACTTTACATACAAGGTTACTGTTGACCAGGATGTTACGAGCTGCTAGATCACGGTGGACATATCCCATGTCAGACAAGTACCTTCGTAACCAAAAAGGAGAAGATTAAACCTGAACACTGTGCCCCAGTGAGGTTTTCAATAATATACAGGGTGTATATTGGGACTATGTGTACCTCATGCCAGATGCGATGCCACGCAGCATTCCAACCAGCTGGATTACAGTGAACTGACCATCGTTTTTCTAATAAAATGAAGGAATGAAAAGGGAAAAAAAAGACATTCTTATTGATATTTGGCTCTGGTGTCTTTAGTTAAAACCCTTTACACAATCTACATAGCATGTGAGGAATAGTCTCACTTGATAAAATGTTTCAAATTAGATAAGATTCACAAATCAGAAAGAAAAGATAGCACAATTACCAATATTTGACAAGGAATCAAGGTAAAACTGCTTTGGTTAATTGCCTGACAACACTTCCCAATATGAACTCTGCTGGTGCCATTTTAGTTAGGTAGCATACAGTCAATAAGAGGAGAGCTTTTCTTTAGTGTCTACCCTGCAATTTACTGACATTCTGTATATGCAGTGGTTCTGTAATAAGTCCCCTGTGGTCTGACATTAAAAACTCTTCAGAAAATGGAGTGAAATCACGTAGCTCAATGCCTATTATTTGTTTTGTAGATTTTAAGGTGTGTAGTCTCCTAAACTGGGTGAGCATGCAAGGTAATACGTGCACAGCTTTAATGTCCTGTAGTATTAAATCCACACAACCACTGAGAGCAACAGAGACAGTTTACCTGTGGCAATAGAATTAATACTAAAGCCACAGCTCTGCATGTTCAACTTGAGCTCACAGCTTTATGTCAGAGGGAGCATGAGCACATTATTGCAGCTTATTCTAAGATTTACTTAGAACTCCTGGAAATGTACATTTCTAACTATCTATTTCTAATGATTACCCTTTCCTCCATCCAATGTCATCAAATCATTACTCCCCCTGTTTGGTATATCCCGTGCGCCGTTGTACCACAGGCAATACCTCCCATATAGTATGTACACTGTATGTTCTTGTTAATAGCTCTGCTGTTCTTTGGACGGAGCTAAGCCAAGAGTAAGGATCAATTTACTCTTGCCTGCCCGGGGGCTCCTTGGAACCTCCAAATCTCCTTACCCCCATATTAATAATTAGGTCTTTTAATATACAAAAAAAAGATGTTAGGGCAAAGTAACTTTTTGCCAAGGACAGAATCACCCCTTGAAAATTCAAGTCACAGCAGTGACTAACCGGTTCACAGTGTACAATTCTTATCCAAAGACAAATGCTTAACTAATTACATAAATAAATAAATAAATAAATAAAACTGCACTTTCCTCTGACCAAGTAGATTAGTTGCCAAACCATGCACTGACCACAGCTGATCTGCCAAAACCACGATTTTCCCCCAACTTGAATCAGACCTTAATTGTGCACATACAGTACAGTATGTAAAACATTAAAAAATGTA